TTGTTAACGTTTTAATTAAATAATAATTTATATATGTATTTTTTAATAAATATTTAAAGCTACAAAGATAAAATAATTTAATACAAAAAATATCATAAAAGTAAGTTAATTGATAAATCAACAAATAAAGTACAAGAAGTCTGAAAATACTACAATTCAACCAAGTGAAATAAATTTTGTAGTACGATTACTAGATAACAGTTGTTCGTACTTATTTATTTGGGTCATATACGAAGTAGCTCATGTGGTTGCGCGATCATATTTGAAACGAAACCAATTTGACACGATAGAAGGCATTGGGTGCCCTCTGCCAAAAATATTTTGACGTAATGACTACCGTTAACGTACCCAATTGTAAAAGCAACATGTTCATATCACGGCGGAGGAGTAGATCGAAATGGGAAGAATGTCAGACTACGTATAGTTGTTAAAGAATGTAATATCACATTGCATCTTGAAGCAATCAACAAGCCCGTTTCAAGAACATCCATCCAATGCTCATTTGGTGCAAATGAGTCGATTTCAAAGAGAGTTCAAGGAGTTATAAAGTTGATGTCATAGTTCAATGTCATACACTTTGAGATATTTTGTCTTGTACATGTTTAATTCCTTCATTAAATCATATCGAATAGACGGTCATTCATCTTCGTGGCTACCGAGACAAACAGCCATTGCTCGAAATCCACAGTTTTCATCGCCTTTTACATTTTGTACCTGTGTGATGTAAAGATGGAAATTATTTAAAAAATTGATTAATACATTGAGATAAAAAAAAATAACTTGCATGAACTACGTCACGTACCTGCATAATGTAAGAATGGAAAATACTTGGAAATTGATTAATGTATGGATGTGCATAATTTTGTTGGTCGAAGTATGAACTATGTCTCGTTTTTTCATTGTTCGTCAAAATATCAAACTCCACAAATCGTAAAGAGAGAATGTTGAAATGGTTACTTGTGAATGAAAATACAAATTCCGCTTCCATTTTTATGGATTATTTTCTGAATTTTTAAAGTTGCAGAATAATTAATGATATATTCTATGAAAATATAGATAAAATAAAAATTAAAAATTTGCATAAGATATTTTTAAAGTTTTTATTCGATTTTTATAAGGACAAACTATACGACTATATACATATGGTTAAAATTTGTAAAATTATAAAATAAATGATATACTATTTTTTATAAATAACAAGGTTTATTGCTTTCTAATTTATTGGTTTTAAATTTGATTAATATATAATACAAATAAAAATTATAATTACTATAAACTAATAATTATTATTATCTATTAATTAAAAAAAGTAAGAGAGATGGGGGACATAAGAGAGAGAAAAAAAAAATTCAAGCGTATAGGCTATTTAATGTTATTAGTAAGGTATTTTTGATTTTTTTAATAGGTAGGGGTGCAAATAACAACCCCTTTTTTTATATGAATTAAATAAATTGGATAAAGTGTCATTCTGATATATAAATAAAAAAACCTTTTTCAATTTTTTAAATCTATACTATCTTATAAAGCATTTGGTTAAAACTCTTAAACTCGTTCATCCCTATCCGATTTCATTCCATATCTGAATTCGTGTAACTAATTGCAGATAAATACAATCAAATACAGGATAAACATCTCATTTTAAATATAAAAAATCTAAAATATAATTAGTATAATAATTAAATTCTAATAGAATACTTAATTATTATCTTTATAAAATTTATAATATTAAACCAAAAATAAATTGTTTTATTATTAAACTTAAATTAAATTATATATAAAAAATAATTTATACTATATTATAAAACATTTGATAAAAACTCTTAAAAACCACTTTTATGTGTAAAGTACTGTTTATTAATGCATATTACTTAAAACTCAAGATTACAAGTAATTGTGCGTAGGTACAACTTATTAAAGCTCCATATATGAATTCGTGTAACTAACTGCRGATAAACACAATCAAATACAGGATAAAAATCTCATTTTAAATATAAAAAATCTAAAATATAATTAGGATAATCATTGAGTTCTAACAGAATACTTAATTG